TTTGATATATTTTACTTTTATTGACATTGAACATATGAATTAAATAAAAGCATAATGTAATTACCTGAAATCAAGTGTTCAGAACAGACCTTGTAATGCCTTTTGCTTGGATCTGGGTTGAAATTAGCATGGTTAATACGTAAAAGCCATAGCATCTTTCTTTCTGCGGAAATATCCTCCATCAGCTTCCCTCGGTGACAGATCCTTTATGTCAAAAAACGTTATCTTGCGATGTCCATTCCCAGATCGGTTGGTAGAACCCCACACAACACAGGTATTTACCATTATCGGTGTTATTTTATGTATTTAATATATATCTATCTATACGCTCTTTTGCCGCACAAGATGGTGGACTACGGAACTATGGGTAGTAGCGTAACGTCATCGGGAAACTATCTATTGCATTCTGTACATACTATTGTGACATGCTGCTGCATTCATGCTCTTTTGACGCTCGGCTATCCGTCAGTGATTTTCTTTGTGCTAAGGCCAGCCATACACTGTACGATTTTTCAAAAGCTTGTCGTTGATACCATCACGCACTATACGAGTAATTGTCTACAATGTACAGCCAAAGCTCACGATTTATGTACTCACACTGTACGGTCTGATCATCATGAAAGCTCCGACGCCGGTTATTAGCAACATGCTAGACAGAAAGAAGAAGGCTGCCCTATTGATTGCTGCGGTACTGTGCAAAATGTTCTAAAAAGAAGAGGCGTCGGCACATCTGGACTCGGAGATGGCTCAGCAAATGTGAACAGTACGGGTTATTTATTTTAAGGCAGGAGTTGGAGGTAAGCCTACTTTTAACTTGATAACAAACACTACGCTAAAATTCCAGATATCTACGTTTTGACCGTTACACGTCACTAACAACAGTACAAAATTTACTTTTCTGTCCTCCATAGTGATGGGAAGACCCTCTCTTTTTATTGATTCGAATCTTTGACTCTCGAACAGTAAAATGAACGAGTCGTGAACGAATCTTGAACTAATCATTTCGTTCGTTTTAGAGCAGGTGGCAGTTTAGCCGTATTGTGGGCGTTGTAAAGAAGGCTGCGGTTCTCCGACACTAAATACAGGAGGCAACATGGTTTGGTTCCGCTGACAAAGTCTACAAAGTACACAAAATGCCATAAGTAATTAAAACCATGTGGAAAGCTAAGAAATAAAAACACACCACAATGTGAAGATGAATGAGAGCAAAAAAGACCCGAGCTCTTTCACGTGACAAATGAAACGAATCTGCGAGAACGAGGCGAAAGATTAGTTCACAGAGAATGATTCGTTCATAGTGATTAGTTCACAGCGAAAGATCAGTTCACGACGAAAGATTGGTTCATAGAGAATGATTCGTTCACAGCGAAAGATTAGTTCACAGCAAAAGATTAGTTCACGGCGAAAGATTAGTTCACAGCGAAAGATTAGTTCACATGGAGTGATTTGTTTGCAATGAAAGATTAGTTCACAGTGAAAGATTAGTTCACAGTTAAAGATTAGTTTGCAGAGTAATAAGATCCTAGTGAAAGATTCGCAAGTTTCGAAAGATTCGAAGTTCACAGTGAGTGATTCGTGAGTTCAATATAAACAAATATTTAATATGACTCGGGAGTCACGAGTCATATGAAAGATTCAGTTTGAACGAATCACTCGCGAACGACACATCACTAGTCCTCCAGTTAGTGGCCAGTAAATGTTCACGTTTTGCCAGCTACACTCAATAGATTTGCGTTAAGTGACTATAATTTTGCACAGGCGCACTGAGGAAGAAATGCTCCGCTTGGCTCGGGGCTAAAATCGTAATATATGCCCGGCCTAAGGCCTATGTGGTATGTCGTATGCGTGCATAGTTGAATGGCTGACACTGTTCTAAGGAGCCTGCTTTTCAATGTATACTCTCTACTACTGTATTTTGCCATCCTTTACACACATAATCACACATGTGTACACATCGCACCAGGCCGAAAAATACAGTATGTAGGGATTAACCATTGGTCTACACGTTTAACAAGAACGACATGCAAACCTGATTTCTTGAAAGGTTGGTAGACTTTCTTAGTACAGTAAAAAATCGAATCTTTAAATTACATACAACTTGTCCTCATTAGAAAGAAAAATCTTTGCAGTCATTTTAAAGGTTTAACTTATCCTATTCTTTTCTCAAACTAAAGGCTCTAATTAACTTGTCGTCTGGTTCAGATGTGGACCGGGGCTTCTCAATTCTGTTTCTACTACTGTTTATGCTGTTCTATAAAGGGAGTAGTACACACCATTCTAGAAAATCTTGAGTTTCTTGGCTATTTCTCACATGGAATAGCCTTAATTTCTAAGATCACGTGGAAGTTCTGTTTTTTTATCCATTTTGCGAGTGTATCAAACCCACAAATGTGATACTCTAGGTAGCCTAAAGGAAGCCTAGTTTAATAGCCTCTCTAACCAGCAAGATGGTTTTCAGCTATGCTATCACAATTTCAAGGTTTTCAAGGGCTTTCTAATAATCGATTAGCCTTTTCACGTAATTAGCAAACACAGTGTAGCATTAGGATACTGGAGTGATGGTTGCTGGAAATAGGCCTCTATACAGATGCTAAGATTATCTTTAGGAGTGACAAGAATGGACTGGATCAGAAATGAGGTCATTAGAGGGACAACACAGACTTGGAGGTTTGGAGAAAAAGCTAGAGAAATCGTTTGGACATGTGCGGTGGAGGGACAGTGGATACATTGGTAGAAGAATGTTGGAGATGAAGCTACCAGATAGGAGACAAAGAGGAAGGCCAAAGAAGAGATATATGGATGCAGTGAGGGAGGACATGCAGATAGTTGGAGTCAGAGTAGAAGATACAGAAAACAGGGAGAGATGGAAATCAATGATTTGCTGTGGCAACCCCTGAAAAAAAGGGACAAAGCTGAAAGAAAAAGAAGAAGACACCTATATAGATATTCCATTGATGTTTGCAGCAAGAATTGTCATTTACCATATTAAAAACGTATAGAGTGCATTTCTGATTAATTAATGTTCATTGGAAATCTTCTTATATCTTTGTTGTAAAAAAATGTGCTTTTCCTTCAGAAATAAGGAACATTCTAAGTAACGCTGAACTTATGAACGGTGGTTTATAGATATATAAATATATACACAATTAATTGTGACCAATTGCGATAAATCAACTTACTTACTATATATGACAGTTTGACCATGAATAGACCAATTTACCTCACATTGGGTTGGGTTGAAGCTGTATTTCAAGCTCGAACTGCTCTGGTGAAATGAAACATATAACATATCGGGTTCAATTTTGCAACTGGGCTCTCACTGCTGTTTTTTGGAAACCACACTTTTGTATTTCCTGCAAAAGGACTTCTCTAAATGTCCTTCTATGAAAAAGTTTGAGGGGAAAAATGTCATCTTAATATAAACATAGGTCTTTTAACAATAAATTAATATAAGCCTAAGTGAAATCTACATTAATGTGAGCTACATTTTTATGTTGACACCCAATGTCATGGCTTCTAGTGCACTACCATACCATTGCACTTGTTGGTTTTGGCAACTTTCATTGATAACATTAGGCTTTGTCCATTACTACATATCATGATATACATACTCCAACTATATAGTTAATTAATAGTTATGTAGGCATTTAGCTTTTTGTCTGGTATACAGTAACTATAGATTTAACTATAGATTTCTTCCTATTTTAAAGATATGTACCAACTTTTCAAGAAAAGGGAATCTATTGCCCTGATCCCAACTTCACACTTGGTGATTCCGACATAGTAGTATTTGTTGGATGACATTACTGTGTTCTCCATTCTTCTATTTGGTGTGTCTTCTATATGGGAGTTAAAAGCTTTTGAAATGCACCATTTTTCTCTAAATTGCTTCCTTTCCTTCTCTCAGAAGCATAAAAAACTCAATTTTCGATACAATGTGAGTCTCTGGTGTATTTGTAGCGGTGATAAAATGACAAGTGTGTAGAAAGGCTCCTGGCTCTGGTTTGGGTTTCACATTTGATAAACTATATCCAAATTATTTGAATATGAAGGGCTCATCTCATGCAGCACAGGGTGGCTGTATTGCTTTAGTCATTTTGGCTAATATGTGTTTGTTTGTTTTTTGTTTTGTTTTTTGAGATGTTGGTATGGAAGAGTTCTGCCCTTTGACTTAATCACATCAACAAAACACAATCATAAAACTGTGTCAGCTCTGTACTATTACGTTTTATGTTGTATTATTATGTTGAATTGAATAATTTCCACTGACAGAACTCTACCATACATGTATATTAGAGGTTTTGACAATGTCTGGTATTCTGTACAATACATGTAGATCTTCTCACTTAAAACTTGCCAACCTCTAAATTCTGTATTTCTCCGAGTTGGTCAGACGGGAACCGCCAGGCTCCTTGTCCTAAATCTAATCTCCTGCTCTATGTGGTTGTGGCTCAAACCTCTCATATATTTTCTGTTTTGTTGGTATAAAAATGTGTTGAGAGGTGCAGCAGGAGAGAGAGAGTGTGTGTGGGATTGAGAGATAGAGAGAGGAGAGATGGAGCAATTCAAAGTGCCATTTAAGCATCTCTCCTTTCCAGGTATATCAAAAGTGTGTGAATGTAATGTCTCTCTGAGGACAGCACAGATTGACCTGCTTGACTGTGTGTGCTGACAGACTGCCATGTCTTTCTTCTCGCTCAACTCCCCTGCCCCCCGCCCGTCTCTCCAATCGACTTCTCTCTCCCCTCCACTTTGTCATCCTTCCATCTGCCTGTTCTTGTTTGTTTCTCATTTCTTCTCTGTCTCTACCTGTCTGCCAATTGCCTGCCCATGTGTGATTTTGGCTTTTTACCTTTGGATTGTTTTGATCTCCATATTTCAAATTGACAACAACCAACAACAAAAAAAAAAACACAAATATATGTTTTTTATATAAATTACTATATTTTTTATATAACTTTCCCACAAACCCCAACATTTGTGGCTTACACTCACACCAGACACAGGCAGATAGTACAGCTGTCAGACAAGCATCAGATCCTAGCCCTCACGGCCGCAACGAGCACTCTCTCGTCGTGGGGAGTCAATCCCAGAATCACGGGACAAATGCCACGACCCCCAATACCACCCGTTACCAGACCCCAGCATGCTGCGACATTCCCTGTGCCCTTATTGTGCAGCACTCCTACGACTCCACCAGCCCCCCTAAGCTGACCCCCAAAATGAGAATGACCACCTTTGCCACCTCACCTCCCACCCCAAGGTTATACATACAATAGAAGATAAAACTAAATCATTGGTTAGTAATGCACTTGGACAAAGGTGTTTTTGCTTTGTTATTGTATGGAAGTGATGATGGAATCGGAGGGATGACGTCAGACAAAAGAGAGTTCAGCCTCTGATGCTCAGAGTTTAGTAAGATTCTCAGCAGGAGAGTAATTTAACTTTTTTTTTTATCTGCTAACAAACCTGGTCCGGTGCCTATTGAATTTGTGCGAAGTGACGCTTGTTGACCACAGGAGGGCACTGGTTCTCTACCTACAAGACGTTGGAGCGTCATCTTTGACCCCCCAAAAAATAATTTTTTAAAGTTTGTATGCAGAAAGAAAACATTTGTAATTTAGCATTTTCTAAATGAAGTAAAGTTTATATAATACATATCTTTTATTATTATTTATTAACCTTAACTAGGAATATCCTTTTGAAGAGAACTGGCCAAAAGAGGCACAGCAAATAAACTATGCAGTCAAGTTTAACAGTTAAATATGAAATTAAGTAATATATAGGGATATTAGGAAAACAAGCACTAGCAGTGGAATGTGCTTCATGTACTTACATTTTTGTATATAAAAGTGCACCATGAAATACAATTCTGTAAATTTACATTCATTCTGTAGCAAATTCCAGTAGACAAGAGCCTTTGTAAATGAGGCCAAGAACAACATGGTACGAATATGATTTAATTCTCCAGGATAATGCTGCAGCAGTACACACCTAATTGATGATGTACTGTATGCAGTAAAACATTCAAGGCTCCTTCATGTTTTCTGAATAGATAAATCAGTGTTTGATATTAATGTTTGCTTTTTCTCTGTGTTTTTAACCATTGCAAAAGCAGGCAGATTGCACTACAATTGTAACCAAAATAATCTACTCCAAATGATTTCTGCTTAAGTTCAAATTTACTCCTCTTGCCTGCAGTTCATTAATATCAACTTCACCAGATCAATATCTCTCTCCTTGAAGCATGTGTTTATTCGAGTGGGTGTCATAACAAATGCCAGGGTTCCCTCATATCCCCTTAGTTTCATGGACCCTTCCTTGTATGAAAGCCAGGGGTCACCCTACGTGTCTCATCTCTGCTAAGTACAAAATTACAGCGCCCTCCAGGGAAACGTCAGTGAATTTGTTTCTATTGGATTTGTGTGCTCACCCATCCCTGCATGCTTTTTCCTCAAAATAACGCTGCTTATCCTTGTTAATCTGAGTCAATAAGTGAGACCCCTTTGTGACCCCCGCAGTACCCACCTCTTAGAAAACTCTTTCTTGACAGAAACATGAGGAGAAGCCAATTGTCACATTTGTGGATAATGTAAATACTCAAAAGGTTCTTGATCCTTCTGTTTTGTTGGTATACCTTTACCTTTACCTCTTTACCTTCTGTTCACCTGAGCCTTCCCTCTAAATATGTACCCTCATCCCATTTATAAACTGAAGACCACTGCACCAGCGTTCACCCTCTCTTTACACTCTAATCATGACAACACCGTGTCCACTCAGTGTCTGAAATCGGTTGATCGTATAACTATGCTCGTGTGGGCTTTGTAATTCATATAATAGTTTTATTTATCTTAAAGATTAAGATAAAATAGAGTTTAAGCAAATGGAAATGTGTATTTCTGGTAGTTCTAGGTTTCATTTATCATAAAGGCTAAGCTAAGTTTAGTTGATTCTGTTAAGATTATCTAAGTTTCTATCCTTTGTTTGACTGTCGTTAAATCATCACCTACACCAAGCTCAATCAAATATGGATGAAAAAAAACTTTGCTTAATAAAGAGCTTTCGCTCTTAATGTGATTTTTTTCCCCTGGTGGGCATTAAGCAGGGGGAGGACTCACAGGAAGGCATGACTTACAGACTTAAGGTGCTGTTATTACAACTGTTTATAATGATAATATAATAATATATTAGCCAGCAGGGCACACACACATCATCATGATGGTGGTGTTTTTCTGTGTTGTTCCAGATCATCTGCGCTCCCTTTTCAGTCCAGGTTTTAGTGTCTTTATGTCTTATCTCTTTTACTATCCTGACGACCACTACTCAGAGTGTGCTTCTCTATCCTTCCCTCCTCTTCTGTTGTACCCTCCCTGCACTTCCTGTCACGACCATGCTATCCTCACGTTTCCTCACGGTCACCTTCCTGTGACTTTCATTTGTGCTACAATTATACAAATACTACCAAAAACTATGCATGGTCACATTGTCTGTCTTGTGACATCCTCACTGTTATGTTTTTAACTCCCTACTTTTCACCATGATTCTTATGATCCATTTGTATTGGCTGAATGGATGACATCACTACTGCCTGAACACAAATCCACTTCATTCTTGTTCACTTTTTTCTAAGTATACTCTGCGTATATATTTTCTTCTGTTTCCTTTTCTGCTCTTTTTGTTTCTTTCTTGCTCTACTACACCTCATCGCTCTCCCTGCTTTGTCTTATTTTCTCCCTTTAATTTTAAATTTATTCTTGTCGTCTCCATCATCTACCTGGGTCTCTCTGGAAATTCTTTTTCCATCCTATACATTTTTCCTTACTGATATCTGCCTTTCCATCTTTCCAAATTCCTCCCTTTACCATTAACCTCTCCTTCCTCCCATCATTTGCCATCAATGCTTCTATCATACCCTTCCCCACCTGCAGGACGATAAGGAGATCGACTTGGAGCACCTACACCGCAGGGTTAACAGCTTGTGCACCGAGGATGAAAGCCCCCACAAGCAGTTCTCCACCTCTTCCGTCGATTTAACCCCCCTGGAGATGGATGCACTCCCTGCTGCGCGCCAGGCCCTTGAACAGATCAGTGATTTCCGCAACACCCACATCACCACCACCACCTTTATCCCTGAGCAGATCCAAACCCTCAGCCGCAGTCTCTCTGCCAAAGCCGCCGCTGGATTTTCCTCCGGTTTTGGTGGTGGTGGTATTCTCCAAGACCACCGGACTGGCGGGGTGGGCCCTTTCAGGCAGCGGGCACCCAATGGTGGCTTTTTCCGTAGCCCTCTCAAAACAATGTCCTCTATCCCCTACCAGCCCACAGGTCCGGGACCCAACTTTGGATATGGCAATGATCCAGACAGAGGCACCTCCATATAATGAGGTTGCTGGGAATATGGCTGATTTTATGAGAAGGAAAGGAAGAGAAAGGGATAGGATGTGGTGGTTAGGGTAAGTAAAGGGGTGGTAGAACAAATACAACTAGATAAGCTAAAAAGGCCCAAGATATAAAAATCAGTGTAAATAGAAATTGTTTTATAAGTGGAAGCTTCAGGGGCTCTCCTTGTCCTCCTACACACTGTGTTGGTGATGTGCAAAAGGGGAACGGTGGTTGCGTGGTAATCTTTGCTTTATTGTTGTTAGTCATGTTATTGTTTGGGGGATTATTTTTCATGGTAGCGGTGGAGGGGAGTCGTGTGAAAGACATTTTTCTTTTATAAATTGTTACTGTTTCATAAACGAGGACTTCTTCATAAAAGATTATGATCCGAACCTGAGCCTGGAGGCTTTGTTCTTTGCCATTTCCACCACCAGAAACATTTCTGGTACATTGTGAGCTCCAGGGCTGCCATTAGAGAATGATAGGTGGTGTTTCTAGCCAAGAAGCGACATCAACCACTCTGTGGGTTGTTATTTTCTTGACAGTATAACACAGTTAGCCCGTAGATTTGTCTGTAGTCCAGGGAATGCACAGTGCAGCCCCTCGTAGTTTTCGAAAGAGGTCTCATCTCAGTGAGAATCAGAACTCCTCCGGGTTTTCACTGCCTTTTCATCATGCAGGAGTTTGTGCTTGGTTTTTGAATCTTGTGTGGTCTCACGGCGAAAAACCTTGGCTTCTAAACGTGTAATAAACTCCAAGATGGTGTCAACAGATTGACCTGAGTAGACCTTAGAGTTCGCAGCTGAACACATGCTGACGGAGAGACGGTGTCGGCCTCAGGCTGATATGCCATGACAGCACGAGACATGCATTGACATTCAGCGTTCAACATTCTGATGCACATCCAAGACACTTTGCCAATGCCACTGCACTGTACCAATTCCCACAGACCTGTAAGTGATTGTATGTAGAGCTGACATTTTTCTTTTCTCACATGTAATGTGATAACTCCGTTTCAAGTCCAGGTGAGATCCGCAGAACAGACTCCAAGAGGGATGCTAAACGAGATGAAACAAAAAGACACCTTAAAATGAAGCATAAAAGACAAGCTGGAAAACTTTTAAAAGCTAATGCATATTATATGTCTTTTGTTCAAATTTCTGTTTTGGAGAAAAAAGATTTTAATGTGTGGAATGTGTTTTGGTCAGGAAGTTAAAAAAATAACTGTTTTGAGCTGCTTTTTTTTTTTTCTTCAGCAATCTTTGAAAAACTGTTAAATGAGTGGTGTAGTCTCTGGTTCTGCATAACTGTCATTCAGACTAAGTTTTTTTTTTTTTGTCCTTTTTTTTGATGAATAATTTTTAGTGCTGCCATGGCCTGGATGTTTTTAGAGATAAACGCTAACTCTTTAAGTTCATGTCACAGTTGAGTGTATTGATATCTTCTCATTGAGTCACTTCTGACCAGGTAGTTAAACAGAGTTGACAGCGTGATGAGAAACCATTGCATCATCACCTTCACTTTAGGTCTTATATGTCAACTAGCTAATTGTCACCTCTCAATCTCCATTTATGATCAATTTAGGAGCAGAAATCACAGGTCGCGTCTTAGGGTCCGGGGTCCATGACGGAGAGTCCCATTGGAGCTCGACGGCTGCCTTTTACAAGATGATTTCAAATATATTTCTATTTCATATCTGTAATGTTAAGGGTACTGTGTATATAACTTGTTATTAAGTGCCATTTAAATAAAACAAGACCATTAAGGTGCATTTTGGGGTGGGACGGGGCGAGTACATTAAGAGCATAGACAAATATTTTGCAGATGAGTGGTTTGAATGGTAAAATGGAACCAAACCCTTTTTTTTCACTAACACTGTATTAATAGTTGATAATGTTAGCTGTTTAGAGCATTTGTTCCACTTTGTTATCCTTAAGAACTAAAACCTTCAAATTCTTGTGCATAGAGAACTTAGTCGAGCCACACTGTTTCGAAGCGAGCATTCTTAGGCATCCTTTTCTTATATTAGGCTACAGTAGGGCTACTGAATGACCAATATGATAAAGACCTTTAAAGTTTTATTTAGTATAAATTAATGAGATATTATAAAATGTATATTTTACATGCCAATGCTATTGTGTTTAACAGAGAGAAAAGAGTATATCATAATTAAGATCTTGTGTTGATCTTTGCTGTCACATGACTGTGTTGGCGTCCAGCCATGGTCAACATGAACGCAAACTCTTTTCTTTTCTCACATCATCCTAAGCTCATGGTTATTATTTGCTGGCTAAATAACAAATAATTTAAAAAATTAAAAAATTAAAAACTACAGCAAGCCTATTAAAAATAGAGCATGCACAAACTTGCTGTTGCACTGTCTGTTAACATTTTTAATTTCATACATAGAGCTACAGGACCTAATTGATAACTTTCAAAAGTTTATGATGTACAGTATTTAATATAGGCCTATTTTGTTGTATGTGTTGCATATTATTCAAAAACAGAACAAACCAGGGTCTCTGTTACAGGCGGCAAAGCTTTCTGTGTATAATTTGTCTAATAAACAGGTTTTCTACAGTGGGGTGGTATTTTTTGTCTTTGGTAGAATCAAGTCCAAGTGAAATGTAAAAGGTCAGAAAAAGTTCATTATATAGATTTGTGTTTATTCATTATAACATGACACACTAAAGTCCCTGCAGTGCTTTTTGGAAATGTTTTAACACTACTGCACATGACGTCACTGCACTTGGTGTCCTTACTTCTCTTCAAATCTTACAGGACAAAGATGGACAGATAAGAGTTAAGGATGGAGAAGGAACACCTAGCTAATTACTATGTCATTTCTTAACTATTCAACAACTGTTTGAATGCCAGTTATTTTAAGGGAAAATAAAGAAAGAAAAACCCTCAGCCTCTGCTGAAATCTTTTAAGGTTCCTCCAGTCATCAGAGCAGCAAAAGCCGCGTCACACTATGCCGTGCACAGCATTGAAGATTGACTGGAGCAACACAGATGCAGTGAGTACAACAGTTAAAGATTTAACCTGAAGTCAATGAAACAAACAAATTATAAATTATTCTGGTTTTAAATCAAGATTGGGTTTGAGTCTGCTCCTTTTTTGTTTACGTATATTGTAGTCGGAACAGATTAGAACTTTATTCATGAGCAGAATTTTTTTTTAAATTGTGTTTCCACAAGCATCGATCAGTTCAGCGCTTAGAGCGGCTGCTGTCAAGTTCAGTGGAGTATTGCGTTGTAATTGCGTTTATTCACCAAATGGGGGCACTATTTAGCGCTATCATTTTTCAGATATGTGCACTTCTTAGCGTGATGATTGGCAGCCATTCACTGTCGACATTAATAATAAATAATCTTATTCTAGTTTGGTTTATCTTCTTGTAGTCTTATCAGTATATTTTTATAGTTAAAGTTTATTCGTTCTATGGGTTAAAGTACTCTTATAGTACTCTTTCTCTTAATTTCATATATTTAACATGTGCAAATGTTGTTTATATACAAAAATAAAACTTACATTTGTAAAATAAGACAACAAATAAATTAAATATTAAAACTAAGATGTTAAATAATATACTTTGCTTACTCAATTCACAACACAAATACTTATTTTGTTATTCTAACTTCAAAACAATGATAATGTTAAGGGATAATTTAAAAATAAATATTTTTAAGCCAGTGATTTAACTGAATAGTTTCATAAATAATGTCTAAATTGATTAATTTTCTGTTGAATTGTTTTCAGAACAGTTGTTTATGTTAAAAAAAGGAACATGTTATAACTTTTATCACAATATTATTGGAAATGTAGCTCCAGAGAGCTTTATAGTAAACACTGATTTACTACTGACTACATTTGTACGGTAGGCAATTTGCATTTCAAAATTTGTAATGCAGTGGTGCAGAACAGAGCTTATAATAACATATGTAAACAAACCTTGTTATTTCACATTTTAAAAAGTGAACACTGTTTAATCACAAATTGCACGGCCCCAAACATTAACTTTGCACACCCCTAAGGGCTCTCGGACCACCGTCCCCACACACCGCTCCCCAGGCACTTAAAAGCTGCCCACTGCTCCCCTTGGTGATGGCTTAAAAGCAGAGGCTCAGTTTCGTTGTGTCCTCGTGATACAATGACACTACAGCACATATAATAATAATAATATTATACACATGTATTGAAACCTTGTTTATAGCAACCCCTGCATGAAAAAAAGGGAGCTGGTCTTTGTAAATGATACGTAAAAATGTTGTATTCTTTTTCTTTGATAGATATATTTTGATAGATATTTAAAAGAAAACTTCATTATGCATAATACTTTATGGATTAAGTTTACTAAACAAACTTTCTCAGATCCCTATCCCGCTCAGATCACTCTAGCCTCGTGTCTGTCGCGCCCAGGTCTCCCAGGAGATGGGAATGAGCATGGGCAGCACGCAGACTCCCCACCCCCAGGCGTGACCAATGGAACATAGAGTCTCCATTGTGGCCGCAACACTTTAATAATGGTGAGATACAATATCCAACCTGTCGGTAGCTTCAGGAGCCCTGTCCGGCCCGTTGGTTGGGGGCTTGTAGGTGGGACGAGGGGGCGAACGCTCGGCGCCAGACCTCTGGTCCGCAAGACGTTCCTGTGATGAATACATGAATAAAAATGG